TTGTTAATCACTTGTATGATTACAAACTGAACGCAGGAATCCACACAGTCCTATTACCATTGATTATTAATCATAACTATAACAAAATTCTCAAATCTGATTGGGTATCAACTGCCATGATTTCAGCACTAATAGGACAGAGTAAATGGGACTGTATGCATGATGCCTAAATAATAAATTGGACAGTATGTGATATTGTATCACACTTGAATGGTTTTGTTTTTTTAGTGCCAGCAAAAACTCTCAATATCTTGTGTTTTAACTTTTAAGAGGCTTAAAATGTCACAAAAGTTTTTTTGGTTTAAATGTTTTTAAAAGTAGTATTCCAATTCCGTCTGTAATCATACTTATGATTGAACAAATTGTACACAAGGGGGTGGGGTGAAGGACATGCTTGGAAGTGACTAATCCATTATGTAGATCAAGGGGTGTGCTGGATAAAAACCTCTGAGATGTGCTTAATTCTTCACATCACATGAAAGCCATATTCAATAAATTGTTTGATTACTAATTCCAAACCAGCATTTTAGGTTCTTAAACGTCACATCCCTTATCTCCTTGTAGACTTCCTTCAAAACATTTTTCATGGCACTGAGTTTCGGAATGTGAAAGGATGCCTTTTTTATTGCAGATACTCCTCAAAAAGAAGATGACAGTCATTGCCCAGTATTTTGAATGCATTCTTTTATTAAATATGTTCTTTTTTAATCTGTATTTGAAATGTATGGTTCTCACATACAATGTTACATGGAGCCCTGAACTCTCAGTGAATTGCCATTTTCTTGAGATGTTCACCCATGACAAGACAGCTAAGTTGCCAGTCTACTGTCTCGCTTGATATCAATTCAAATGATTGCATATTCCAGTGGCGGATCCAGGGGAGGGGCCCAGGGGGCCTACCCCCTCTTATTTTTGGACCAAACTGAGGCCCGCGGGACCGAAAAAGTTTTTTTTGAAACTGGGCCCTCCTTTTCTCCCCCCACCCGCCCTCCTTATCTGAAGGTCAAGATCCACCGCGGTATTCCCCATGGGTTTCAAAGCTGGTTATGAAGATTTAGCCACGAGTGCACAGCTGATGACAAGCAGAGAAATATAGTTTGATTAAATAAAATTACTGAATGAATTATGTTAAAATAAATTGATATACAGTAAAGAGAAGAACAACCTGCATTTTACCAAGTTAGCCTAAACAGTTTATTGCATAAGTGGTAAATTAGCCCAAATTTAGGCTTTTTAGGCCGTTAAATAGGTTCTTATTGTCTGAAGAAAAAATAGCATGGTAGCTATGACTATTAGATTTAGTGGTATTCAACTTATTCCTTATATAAAGTCTGCAGACCAAATTAGCATTTATGTAAAAATGACCGTGAGAAGAAGGACTGAAACACTGATCACATGAATTTTGAAGCCCCTCTACCAAAGTCAACAGAAAATAAGAACCTATTTCAAGTTTTAGGGTTAACAGGGTTAACAGGTTCTTGACAAATTTTAGCCCAACAGGTTCTTAAAAACTAGCTTGTTGGTTGTGGGCTTTCCCTGTATTTTGCACTTTTTGTTAGCTGACTGCAAAGACCAATTTTTTTGTTTTTGTCTTTGTTTTCAATTTTAGTTCTCACGGCTGGTTTACATATTGACTACATATCGCAGCAAAAGCTCAAACAGGATACGTAGAATCATCATGTTCTTCAGCAGGCTGGTGATCAGTGCACTCGATCAAGACTACTATTCTTAAAAGAGAAATGTTGCTTGAGTTTATGTCATGTGTAAGTGTTTTTTTTTTTTTTTTTTTTTTCCCCGAGGATTTTTTTAATCTTTTCGATTTTCTCAGTGAAATTATTGTCAATATTGGCTGGCCTCGATGTCGAGAACCAAACTCCTAAGGCGTAGACCTTTCCCTCTGCCCAAAAGATAGGTTTACTCGAAGGAATAACAGCATTAGTATTCTTGTGTGAACCTATCCAGAGGGCTTCAGTTTTCTCATAGTTTGCTTTCAAACCTGATACATTTGCAAATATGTCTAGTACGTATAATGTTCTCGAAAAAGAGCGTTCTGAGCCATCTAAGATCATTGTTGTGTCATCTGCATATTGGGACAGTTTACAATCTGAGTTACCCAATTTGATACCGCGAATTTCTGTATCCCTTCTCACTGCGTTATCCAAGATTTCAGCACCTAAGATAAATAAATAGGGCGACAGTGGGCACCCCTGTCTTACTCCACGATGTAAAGAAAAGAAGTCGGATGCCCATCCATTGTTAAGGACACAGCTACTTATGTTCGTATAAAAAAGTTTAACCCAGCTTACCAAGGATGTTCCAAAGTTAAAGTGTCTTAGTGTTTTCTCTATAAAAGACCACTCTATACTATCGAAGGCTTTTTCAAAATCTACAAATAACAAGAGGCCCGGGATTTGTTCCATATTTGTGTGGTTAATAATGCTCTCAATAAGTCTGATATTTTCTCCTATAAATCTGTTTTTCAAAAAACCGGTTTGATCATTATTTATTATGTTCGGCAAAAATTTCTTCATGCGGTTTGCTATGGATTTAGCTGCAATCTTGTAGTCGCAATTGAGAAGAGTTATAGGTCTCAGTTCTTTAAAAAGGTTAGCCGGTTTGTTCTTTTTTGGTAAAAGAGTAATTAGACCTCTTCTTTGAGAAATTGATAAACATCGTTTTTCATATGCACCATTTAGTGCATTAAGTAAGTAGCCTTCAATGTCTTCCCAGAAAACCTTATAAAATTCGGCTGGAAGGCCATCAGTCCCAGGAGTTTTGTCCGATGCCATAGTTTTTAGACTATTTAGGCATTCCTCTTTTGTTAAGGGCCCTTCGCATTCTTCCTGCGCGTGTTGGTCGAGTTTTACCGTAGATTCTTCGGAGAAGAAAAAAGCGTCGTGAGCAGAGATATCAGGCACGCGTGATGCATATAAGTTTTGATAGAAAGATTTTGCTTCTGTTAAGATTTCCTCATCTGTTTTGATGACGCTACTGTTCTCAAGCTGAAGTTGCCTTATGGTTTTGGTATTAAAATGCCTTTTTTCCAAGTTTAAGAAGTATTTCGTGTTTTTTTCTCCTTCGTTATGCCAGCGGGCTTTGGATCTTATCATGTCTCCTCGAGTTTGACGCTGGACAACGTTTTCTAACTGTAATTTTTTAACTTCTAATTCATTATATATAGTGGTCTTGCTGGTTTCAGATAAGTCATTTTCTTCCAGTTTCCTCTGTAGGGACGTTATGACAGACTCCAGATTTGTTTCTGTTAACTTCATTTTGCCTCTCTTATGTTTTGCGTATTGTATCGACTTTGAACGAATTTGCATCTTCATTGTATCCCAGAGGAGCACGGCATCAACCTCGGTGTTATTTTGGTATTCATTTGCAACTTCAGTGATTGTTGTTTTTATCAAATTAATATATTCACTGTCTGATAGAAAAGACGTATTTAACTTCCAGAAGCCCGGGCCCCTGGGATTGGTATTGTTTGCAAGGTGGAGCGTTATCAAAGAGTGGTCTGTTTTGTACCCTGGTAAAATATCAGCTTTTGTAATTGCCGAACTTAGACTATTACTCGTCAAGAAAAAGTCTAAGCGACAATGAATTTCGGGTTTGCTTCTTCTGCAAGTGAATCTTCTGATATCCGGATTGGAGACCCGCCAAATGTCGATAAGGTCTAGCGAATTTATTATGTTCTGAACTTCCTTCAAAGAATTTTTGTGAGTGGTCAGTCTTCCTCCCTTCTTATCATTTTGGACGTCCAATACTAGATTAAAATCGCCACCCAGGATAATGTCCTCGCACTCGAAAGAGAGGAGGTGGCTGAGAACGTTTTTAAAAAAATTCGGATTGTCATCGTTTGGCGCATAAATGTTTCCCAATGTTATAGTCTTATTTTCAAGTTTCAAATCTACTAAAATAAATCTTCCATCTGGATCAGAAAATTGTTTCTTGATTTCGAATTGAAAATTGTTGTTAAACAGGATGCATACCCCTGCACTTGAGCTAGAAACACTACTTAAAATAGCTGAGAAGCCCCATTCTGATGACCACAGTCGTTCTTTTTCTTTGGTGCCTTGGACTTCTTGAAGAAAGAATATTCCAAATTTTTTCATTCTAAGCCAACGAAAGGTTTCTCGCCTCTTAAGGTTGTTGGATAAGCCCCTCACATTAAGAGAACAGATTATCAATTCGTCAATTGGGAACTTGTTGATGATTAAAAGTAGTGAACTGGAATGCAGAAACAAAATGCAAATTGCGATAGTTAACACTTCGTAGGACTGAAAAGTATTTTCTACTGACCGAAAAACCAAAACAACGGCTACACTGAAAACATAAAACTATAAACAAAAACAAAAAAAAGGTAAAATTTAAGCGGCTTAGGGAGAACATACCTTCAAACAGAAAGATCGACGAATCCGGAAAGGACGGAACGCCAAATAGTTTAACTTTAGAACAATATACAAAAAGGAAAGAATCCGTTGTGTGCAAACGGCGAAGCAAACGTGGAGTACTAGTCTCGGTCTTAAAGGTTGCCATAGCAATTAATGCAAAGGCAACTGAGAAAAATCGAATTACACTGACCTGAGTAAAGAAAACTTCTACGAGCGTGTAGATTCAGCTGCAGGTTTAAGTTCGTCGGGTATGTTACCAACATGATAAACGTTATCATTTATTACTAGATTTCTGTCCACTACTTTCGCGCTCATGCCTTTCTTCCGCGCTATGAACATCGCTTTAATTAGTTCCTTTCTTTCAAGCTGTATCGCCTTTGCATAGTCTTTAGTTATATACGCGTCTGGATAATCCGTCGAGTGTCTCAATCTTCCTTTCGCTTTAAAAACACGGTCCCTATCTTCCCTGCAGAGAAAACGCGCAATGATGGGTCGGGGATGGTGAGTCCTCAGGCGAACGTGGCTTACCGACTCTGTGGACAGCATGAAAGTATATATTCTGTGTGTTTATGTTCAACCCGTTCTCGACGATATCATAAACGGTGTCAGTGCAGTTCTCGTGTTCTTGCTCCGGTATATTCATAAATCGGAGATTCTCTCGGCGAGGGTAGTTTTCCAGTGCGATGATTTTTTCCTGTTCCTCGGATAGCTTCGTATTTAAAAGGTTGATTTGACTCTCCTGCAGAGCAATTTTTGCTTTAGCGCTTTGTGAAACACCATTGTCCTCGAGGTGTTTTTCCAAACTTTCTTTATGTTTCTTTCGGAATTCTGCGTGTATTTTTAGTTCATCTTGGAGATCTTTGACTGTGTCCCACGCCGCGTTCAATGATGTTTCCATATCATTTACTGTCGATTTTACTTTCTCAATTTCTTCGTTGAGTTCATGTCTAAGACATGATAACTCGGATTTTAGACTGCCGAAGAGGTCTTCCATTCGAGATTCCAAGTTACACAACTTATCCATAATGTTGCCGAGTGAGACGTGATGGTCGTCCTTACCTGGCGTCCCATCGCGGAGCAAGCGTTTCGGCGATGGTTGATACTGTGAAGAAGATGAACTCGAAGAACGTGTTTCACGTTGATTCCGTTTAGACATTGTTTTAAAGATGATTATATGATCAGAGGGTGTTTATATAGCGGCGTCTGTCCCTTTCCGAATGAAGGAATCAGAGAGAGATTTTTTTGCGACTGTCGGCCATCATGCTCTTCCCCAAAAGTTAGGCGTCATATGCCACTAGGCACTGCTAGAGCACGGCCCTGTGAATTCAGTGTACTGAAAAAACCGGAAAACCTTCCGCGCCGCCGAAGGCTCTCGTCTCGCCTCGTCTGTCATGTGTAAGTGTTACTTTTATACAAAAAGCATATGAAAACAACAGTGTCAGTGAGATCACACAATGCCAGGCAGTCCTTATGCCATGTTTGCTTACAGTGCATTAAAGGAAACACTGGGCAAAAATGCAGTACTATAGAAACTGCGTTTTAAAAAAAGACATCGGGAATAAACCTTTAAAGGCCCCCATTTCAAATCACATTTATTGCACACTGATATGTGACTTGCAGCTTCTCTCAACAAAACTTCATTGTTTCTTTGACTCATGGGTGGGGCATTCGAACACGAGTTTAATTTCACTGTGGGATTCTTGCAGTGTTGCGAAGAAAACATGAGAATTGCCCAAGAACTGCGCGTGGACAGAGGCGAGGAGCATGCTTAAAATTGACTATGCCATTACTACAATTATCATTTATGGACAAAATTACTCAGCTTAACAAAAGTTTTCAACATTAACTGGGCTCGTCTGTTGGAAACGAAACATGCTTCATGGTTATCTCAGTGCACCAGTACAGTGTACCATTAAGTAGTTATAAAAGACGTTTTAATCTTCTCTGTATATTTTTAGATATTTGATAACTGCGATATTTGGAAATGGCGTCTACTTCACAGACGTGTCATGGACTTCGCAAAGTGAAAGTCACCATTCTGGCTTCTGAATGGGGATCAAGCAAAGAGGAGCTTTCTACTATCAACAGAGAGTTAGCCATACAGTTAGCCAAATGTCCTGAAGTGGAAATCACTGTCTTTTTACCACAATGCAGCCAAAACGACAAAAAGGAAGCCCTTAAATACAACGTAAAGATCGTGGAGGCAACACCAATGCCTGGCTTCGAACAACTGGATTGGCTTTGCTTTCCTCCAGAAGATTTGCAAATCGACATTGTCGTAGGTCATGGAGTTAAACTCGGTAAACAAGTACAGGTCTTTAAGAACTCTAGAAAGTGCAAATGGGTTCAAATGGTGCACATAGACCCAGAGGAGCTTTGGATGTTCAAAAGCTACTCCAACCTAAATTCAAAGAGCGAAGAAAAGGACAAGACTGAAGTAGAACTGTGTGAAATGGCGGATCAGGTTGTCGGAATTGGACCCAAGTTGAGCGAAGCCTTTCGCTCATATCTTCGTGGCTGTCAAAAAGATGATAATGTTGTTAACTTCACTCCTGGAGTACTTGAAGAGTTTGACACTCTGAAGCAGGTTCCTAGCGAAAGACAACAACGCAGTGTCTTGGTGTTTGGACGTGGAGGCGTGGAAGATTTTGAATTAAAGGGATTTGACATCGCTGGGAGAGCGATTGCTGCATTAAAAGATACTCGTCTTGTTTTTGTTGGAGCTCCGAAGGGAAAACATGAAGAAATAACTCAACGGTTAAACAGATGTGGTGTTCCTTTAAATCGCTTGAGGGTGAGAGGATTTGTTGAAAACCGAGAGAATCTAAAGCGCTTGTTTCAGGAAGTGGATCTTGCAGTCATATCTTCAAGAACAGAAGGCTTTGGGATGACAGGACTCGAGGCTCTTTCAGCTGGTCTTCCTGTGGTTGTCAGTCACAACTCTGGCTTTGGAGAGGCACTGTGCAGTGTACCCTTTGGTTCGTCATTTGTGGTTAACTCAGAGGATCCTGCCGATTGGAGTGCGGCCATTCAGAAACTCTGGGACAAAGACAGGAAAAGTCGACTTGATGAAGTGAAAAAGTTGCGTGATTCCTATGGCAGGAAATACAACTGGGCCGAACAAATAAAAGAGCTTGTCAACAAGATGATCAGCTTAGTTCACGGTATGAATGTAAATTATCGTTTCCAGCTCAACACAATGTTTCATAGCATAGAAGGAAAAATATTATTGCTCAGTTTCTTGCTCTAAAATCTTTAAAACGGATGTCATCAGTTTAATGTGGATTACAGGAAACTGTGATGTTTGTATTTTCAGAAAAAATAGTGATATATTCTATGGAGAGCGGTTACAATCATCTCGCATGTGCTTTTTTCACATTTATTAATGTATTCAGTGCAATAGACTGTTTTCGTCCCTTTCATTTCAACAGATGATTCTTTGAAGGCATTAATCTCCTTAGGAAAAAAACGCAAGGCTTCTCAGGGGACAGAAGACATGACTGAGGACCATGCAGGTATCTTCATAATGAATACATTAGTGAATATTGAAATGTTCTTAATCATGTGAAGGTAATTTTTCTCTCTGATATACTTTCACACTCATTTTCACACCAATATTCATGGTGGTTTACACATAGATGTAGTCAGACTGGGGGTTTTGGTCTTCCTGAAGTGTGGGTGGACTCCACTCTTCCTTAATTTGTTAAAAAAAATTAACTTTCAGGGTCTGACATCCTGCGTGGATGGGGAAAAAGGGAAAAAAGGAAAGAGAGAAATCCCGGGCAGACGCATGACCCAAATTACTTTAAAAGTGTGATTTTTGCCCGGTTCAGAAGCTGAACTTTTCATTGGTTGATCATAATTCGAATTAAGGCTGACCCAAATTATTTAGACCGGCTGTATTGATTCAGTGGCCGATCTTAATTCCAACCAAACTATACTGAAAAAGAGGAATTAACCTTCCTATAAAATACGTTATAATATTTTCTGCATTAAAAGGTTCAGGTCATGAAAAGTTCGGCATCTGAACTGGGCCTAAGCATTGACAAATCTGTGGAAGATGCCAGGGCCCAACATATTTTTCAGGCAATCTGAAGAAGTGTGAGGGAAAAAGAAAAATAATTTCCCAGGCTGTTGCATCTAATATCTTGTTTGAAACAAGCTAGATAACCTTATACAGGTTTATCAGTCTATAGCGATGCTGCTCAAACAAAGAGTGGTAAAAGGGAAATGGAAAATGTGAATTGAGACATTTCCTATTTATCTTGCAATTTAAAAAAAAATGCTGATTGTGACATCAAACAGAGAATGGTGAAAGGGAAATGGGAAATATGAGTAAACAGAATTGGGACATTTCTTATTAAGGTTGAAATTTTAACATAAAAGCTGTTTGTGACACCACAAACAATGAGAACAAAAATTGTGAACAGGCAATTTTTTTGTTTTTGCAACTTTGTTCATATCTGAGACAAAAGAAACTTGTTGTATAACCAGAAATGTATAGAAACTGACTGAATTACCTTTTCCTAATCTGGTGCGCTCTAAAAATATGCGACTGGCATATATGTCCAGTACTACGCCAATCTTCAGGTTGCATATGATTGTTTTGAATACTCCAAAAAAATCCCTACTTAAATCAAGGCAAAATACTTGCCACATTTTCCTACACCCAAAAATCCTGGATTGGAAAATTAAAAAGCCAAAAATTTCCTTTGATCGTCCCCATCACTTTAACTCCGCAGTACCCCTCTGGGCTAAAAGCTCTCTAATAGCGCAGATGTAAGAGTGGGGCATTTATTTAAAATTCATCAGTGTTAGCCAGCATACTGTTTAAAGTATTTCTGTACATGTAGTTGTGTTTGTCTGTGCAGGCAATATCCAATATATTTGTTTCTGGGTTTCAAATTAGTTGTTGAGATTTTTCTCCCAGTGGAAAGTGTTTCGTCCATGAAGACCGTTCCAGCTGATTCAAAAGACTTTGATTCTAAAGCTGAATATAAAGATAAGGATGGTCAGGAGCTTCAAGCTTCTGCAAAAATGGATGCATTAAGACCATTAAGTTATTGTTGTCTGAAGGATTTGACATTGATTCAAGGGACAGGAATGGTGCCACTCCATTAATGTGGACAGCTCTTTATGGCCAACAAGGTGCTTTAAAAGTGAACGGTGGATTCAGTCTGGTCCACTGAGCTGTAAAAGTTGGAAAATACATCCATTATCAACGAGCCGTTGTCACGTGATCTTGACGCTGATTCAAGGAGCAATGATGACTTTACTCCACTGATGACTGTAGCTATTGGAGACAGAAAGTGCTTTTGAGATGATGATACAAAGCGGTGCTGATCCATCTTTGGAAGACAACAAAGAGTTCAGTGGGCTCCACTCTGCTGCAGAAAGTGGAAATACATCCATTATCAACAAGCTGTTATCACTTGGTCTTGTTGTTGATTCAAGAGACGATATTGGTGTCACTTCACTGATGACTGTAGCTATTGGAGAGAACGAAAGTGCTTTTGAGACGTACGCGTTGATACAAAACGGTGCTGATCCATCTTTGAAAGACAACAAAGAGTTCAGTGTGCTCCACTCTGCTGCAGAAGGTGGAAAGG